TAAAGATTTGATTTATTGTTTGTTAAATTTAAATAAATATTTAATATGAAATGATGTTATTATTTTTAATGATCCTTTTAATGTCACTCGCGTGGTTCTGATGTGCCATCTCGGGCTCTGCAGAACTTTTTTCCCAAGATGGCACAACTCAACCCGCGGTCCCTAGAGGTGAATCTGATGTTTAGTCTTAAAAATTACTAAATCACTCATCAAGCGTACTCATGGTTGAAAGAGACAAAATAAAGAACAAAAAAGTTTTAAACAAAAGAATACTATGGTCCCAAAGGTAGGCTCTGATGGGTGAAATAGAGTTTAGGAGGGGATGGCTCTCAAAGGCTTGTATTGAGTGACTCGGACCTACATCATCATAGAGGGTTAGTTGAGTTGTCTATGGAGTGGTATGAAATTTCTGTTAAGGTTTACTTGAGTGTTGAGACAGAGGATATTGTTGTCTCTTTCAAGAGTAATTTCAACATCTTCATGAAAATCTAATAAATTGAAGTTTTTTGTGTTTAAGTTAACTAATAATTTGGAGTATTTTGTTGCGCTAAAATTATGTTGATTGAACCTCAAGTGATGTCCGAATGCAGATGTGTCCGGCTTCTTGATGTGCTCGCCTATCCGGACTCCTAGAGATCTACAAGTTCTGTCGATATAACTGGCATCGCAATCGCTGCATTGCAACCTGTATACTCCACTCTTATCTAACAAATTCGTTTTGTCTTTTGTATTGACTAGATGAGAGTCTAGTTTATTAATTGATTTAAAAGATACTTTGATGTTATCTACGTTGTTAATAAAAAAATTTGAAATGCTCTTAGCTAAGTTATTTTCCCAGAAGGGGATTGATATGTAAAAATTATTAATATGACTTAAATTGGGGTAGGCTAATTTTTTAATTTTCTTGAACATAATTTTGGTGATTAGAGATTGGATTATGTCCGGGTCATACCCGTTGTTAAATGCAATTTGTTTAAGTACATTTAATTCTTGAAGATACTTAATTTTATTTAGAGGGATTGATAGAAGTCTATGAATATAGCAATAGAAAGCAGACATTTTATGTTGGTGGGGGTGATTTGAAGAATAGTGTATCACGTGGTCTGTTTGGGTGGGTTTTCTATATATGCTAAATTCGAATTTGTTACCCTGTCTATGGACAGAAAGGTCCAAAAAGTTCAAACAACATTCTTTTTCAACTGTCAAAGTGAATTTTATATTTGGATGAATAGTTTTGATTGGGTTTCGGATATTAGAAGCCGTCTTGGCGTTACGATTTATTAGGCAAAAAATGTCATCCACGTATCTGTGGTAGATTAAAATATTTTTATGTTGTGGAATAGGCCACATCCCATAGCAAGGCCATCCGGTTGTTCGTTAGTGATATTGTTAAAAGTAAAGAAATTTTGTGATAAGCACAAGTTTAAAAATTGTAAAATGATGGTTGTGTTATTGACATAAACGTTTGAACTTCTCAAAACATCCCGAACCAAAGGCATGGTCTTAAACTTTGGGACCGAGGTGTACAGGTTGCTAACATCGAAAGAAACCATGGTGCAGTTGTCAGGGATGTTGAAGTTTTTGATTTTATTACAAAATTCTAAGCTATTACTTACCGAGTTGGCTGGTTTGAATTGTGTGAGATCATAAATTAAGTTGCAGATAAAAGTGGTGATTTTTGCAACTGGAGTGTTGATGAAACTTACAACTGGCCTAATGGGTATGTCTGTCTTGTGGATCTTTGGAAGTCCGTACAAGCGAGGCATGATTGGATTGGATGGTACCATGCTTGAAATTCAGCTAAACAATCTTTGTTTAATTTAAGTAAAGCTTTAGTTGTTCTAATGAAAGTGTTGAAAGGATTATTAGCCAAAGAATTAAAGTTATTTTCTGTCAAAAAGGTATTTACTTTATTTAAGTAGTCAACTTGATTGAGAATTACCAAACAATTGCCTTTATCAGCTCTCGATATGATTAATTTGTTGTTGGCAATCTTAGTTTTGATGTTTTTTAAAAGTTTTTGTTGGTGATGGACTTGCAAGTTTTGATGTTTGTTTAGCTGTTTTTTGTAGGCATAAAGTTTATGAAAAATATCCTTTCTGATTAAATGTTTATAAGATTGAAGGTAAGTATTCAATGATGGAATACAGCTCGATAGACAACCCCAGCAAATCCCTCTGAGTGTGGTGTCCATGTAACGAGTATTTCAACCCTAAGCTCAAGAGAGCCATCTCCTCATCAAAATGAATATTCGAAAGGTTTTTAACTCTATCAAAAAATTTGAATTTAGAAAATTGATTGTTGTTTTGTCGCATTTTATTGAGATCTGAATCTTTTTTATCTTTAATCAGTTTGTTAAGTTAAATTTAAGTTTTTGTTTAATAGTCCAAGCGGCGACCGCCGTAAAAAGGTGGTCACCAGAATAAGTACAAAAATATATTTTATTATTTTTTGGGTATAAGATGAATAACAAACCATCGGTCTGGTAGTCTATGACTTGTCCAATTTTTTTTTTTTTTTTTTAATAAAATTTGTATTTAATTTTTTTTGTAAAAATTGATCTACATAACTTAAACATAATTTTTTAGTTTACGATGGCGTTTTGACCAGATAAATATAGAAATTCAAGTCTGGCATTCTTATTCTTGACGCAACTGTTTGTCAGACCAACCCCAACAAATTTATTACAAAAACAAATTTTCTATACAGGGTGTTAAAAAAAAGTGTCACAAAATGAAATGGTCAATAGTATGACCCAAAATAAGCATAAAAGTCTTAATAAATATATGACCGCAAATTAACGGTTTCGGAGATACGGACCATTTTGTGTTTATAACAATTTTTTATTATTATAAAAAAACAATGATATTTATAAACAATCAATAACAACATAGAGTTAAATGAGATGTTCAAAGTGCCCTCCCTCCATTTCAATGCATTGCCATTTGCACGACCGTACATAAAATGCATGTCAGCTAATTCAATATTAGTGTAAACAGGCATAACGAAAATTTATAAAATTATTCACCCACAACAAAACAATAACTGCAAATAGTATCTATGAAAAAACATCGGTAGACTCCGATAAAAAAAGCAAGTTTTTAAGAATAAAAAAAGATAATCAAAAAATGATACAAAACACAAAACACTCCGTATCTCTGAAACCATTCATTTGCGGACATATGTTTATTAAGACTTTTCTGCATATTTTGGCCCATACTACCCCCCGTTTTATTTTGTGACACTTTCTTTTAACACCCTGTATAAGGTATAAGAAAAAATCAAAGGACAAAATTCTTATTTTTTATTCCTCTTTCGAATAAAATTGGTCTGGCACGTTCATACTTAACCAAAATTCTGCCAGACCAAGATTAAGCAAGTCCTTCTCTACTGCTTGAAAAGTGCGAGTTGTTTTGGTTTTTGACATAATTGACATCATTCAAATCTTAACCTGTTTAATTCGGAAAAATGTGATGTGCGTCTTTTTAAATGCCATTTATTTAACTAAATAATTAAATAATTTTTTATTGAATTAGAAAAATGAAATGCTTTATCTGTAATATCACTAATAGCAAGGAGAAAGTATTATCGTTTAATGCTGATGCTGATACATTTCAAAGATGTTTATTTATTGAAATGAGGAAAAAGAATCATTTCAAGTAAGGTGATTTAATATTAATACCTGAACTACAAAACTCTGCAGGTCATCATTTAAAATGTTACCGTAATCTGGTTGCTGTAAAAAAATCTGTGGTTGACGAATTTAATAAATCTTCACAAATAGTTAATACAAATAATGAAAAATTTACTAACGTAAGTATACAGGGTGTTTTAAGAAGGTATGTCATTCTTCCTCAGATAGATTACCAAAAAATAAGTGGATTTGGCTATATTTACCTATATTAAAAACTGGTTCCCAACAAAGTTATAGGGCGTTAAACTAAAATTCAGAAAAACGTTTTTTTTGTAAAAAGTTTACTGTTGCGATTTTTTCTTTGAAATTTTGCCAGTGCTGAAGATTTGAAGACCCAATATTCTAAGAAAAAAAAAATTTAAAGGGACCCCTTTATAAAATGTTGGGAATTGGGTCCTTTTTAACCCCCCCGAATTTTGTTTGACATAAAGAAACTTGCTTTATCGATCTTAAAATCAAAAAATACTATAAATTTTTAATTTTTTTTTTATAGCAAAATGAACTTTGTATATTTCTTAGTTAACGAGCTATTTACAATTTTTTAACTAAATTTCTAGAGCAATTTGTCCGTACCGAAATTAACACATCAACAAAACTAAGAGTAGGTCAGGAGTTATTGTACAAAAAACGCATATAAAAATCAGTGGTGTGTCTAGGTCTGTGCTTGAGCCGCCCCTGCAAAAACTACCTCTTTTATTTATAATTTTGTAAAAAGGTATTTATAATATTGGATTGGCGCCATAAAAATGGTGTGCCACTCGTTCTCATGGGTTCACCATGCCACTGATAAAAATACACGTTAGTTTGGAAATGTATTTATTAAATTTAATAGTAATTAAAAAAATTATTTTTTTAATTAAATAATAAAAAATAAACACTTGACAATAATTATTATACATATTTTATAAACTATTTAATTTAGTAAATATTCCTCCTCCTTCTTGAACACCAAAATATAAATAAAAGAGGAGGTTTTTGCAGGGGCGGCTCAAGCACAGCCATAGACACACCACCGATTTTTATATGCGTTATTTGTACAATAACTCCTGACCTACTCTTAGTTTTGTTGTTAAGTCCAGGATGGACAAATTGCTTGAGAAATTCAGTTAAAAAAATTATAAATAGCTCGTTAACTAAGAAAGATACAAAGTTCATTTTGCATATACAACTGCAGAAGAATTAGAAACAGAATTAACTATTACATCGCATGAAACAAGTACGTTGATACCTTCAAATATACAATGTTGTAATAATCTCAGTACAAATGTTGCTTTCGATAACTATGATCGTGTTGTGGGTACTTTAAATGGTAAAGAAGCGACGAAAATTCGATGGAGTTCCTAGAGAAGTCCAAGCCTATTATAAAAAATTTATCAAGAAAACATCATTGACATCTCTTAATGATATTCAAAAAGTTTCCGAAAATTGTTTACCAACTATACTGAATACTAATTTAAGAGACTTAATATGGACAATTTCTTTGTCTATGTGGGTCGGCTTTAATTGTAAAACTTTAATTGATAATAGTGAACAACAAATTGTTGATTATTTACCGCAAATAAATGCCGCACCAGGTCGTTCCGTAACCCTTGAGACATTGCAGTATGCTCAAAAAATAGCAAAAGAATGTAATCAAGAGCATATTATTCTCACCTATGATTTAGGAATAGCTAAGTCAGCTATGGAAATTCAAATTACAGACAGTCCTGAATTTGATAATATTTTTATTAATTTGGGTGTTTTTCATATTGAAATGGCATTTTTTAAAGCTATTGGCAAATACATCGATGGCTGTGGTTTAATTGATATTTTAGCACAAGCAGAAATTTTAGCTGAAGGCTCTGTTACTGGCTTTATTGGAGGAAAACATTTTATCCGTTGTAAAAGGATACATATCCTGCTCACGAGCTCTCCATGCATTACATTTAGTCCCGGCTACCCCCCCCCCCTTCTAGTCAGCCCTGTTTATATCCTTCTAACACTCTGTACATATAATTTAAAATTATATATTGTTGCCATGTACAAGTTTTCTCAAATTTTATTATTTTTCACTAGTTCATAAAGAGTTTTACACTCCGTGGAGTGCGTAATATAAAATTTGACAATTATTTTTTTTTCACTGGTGCGTAAAGTAATTTACGCACTAGTGAAAAAAATTAACTTTCATATTTCTAATATTAGTGGATAATGTGTACGGTAGTAAAAAAAATTAAGTATGTAACTCGTATGTAAAGTGTTAAGATATTAAACACATTAGGTTACAGAATACTATCATTGTACTAGTAATAGCTTATTTGAGCATGTATGTAAGCTATTACATGTGAGTGTACTACGGCTATAAATAAATTTTAGTTGTGCCGCGAGACGAGAGATTCTCGTCTCTCGTCTCGTCTTGTCTCGTCTCGAACGAGACGAGAGAGACATTTTCTCTCGAAAAGAGATTCGAGACGAGACGAGACGAGAGAGTGTCATCTCTCGACGAGAATTTCTCGTTTCTCTCGAACTCTCTCGGGCTCTCTCGAACAATTTTCTCTTTGCTTATTTGAAATTTTCAATTGCTTTTCGTAACTTAAAATTTTAACAAATTAGATTTCGAGACAGTCAAAAAGTTAACTATAACACACCTATTCTATAAATATTAAATGGTAACAAATGATACTTGTGTTATTACGATTTTATAAATAGTGATTTATAGGAAAAAATATTTCTCATTTCATTTGTTTAAAATTTATACAGTCATTTCTTATATTTAATCCATTCTGCTTTGGTGAGGTTACTTTTGAAGATAAGTTGAAAATTTTTAAGCGTTTTTTCGAAAAACTATCAAAGAAAAGGTAATACACACGAATGTATTATATGCAGTGGGGACGAAAATTGTACCTCCTCTATTTTAACTTCTAAATGAAAAAATATAACAAAACAAAAACGAGGTAAAACTTTTTGTTATAACGAGATGCACTTTACTTGAGACACGTAAGATAGAGGGAGTTACTAGCTTTAAATTTTCTTAGAGAAAGTAAGGTTATGTGATACCTCATTTAAAATATATTTTCTATATTTTTACAACAGATTTGGGTTTTTATATTTTTACAGAAATTACATTAAATAAATTCATAAAGTAGGTTAAATTCTTTTTTTTATTAACAGCTTCAACCTCAAAGGATTATTACCGGAGGTATATTACCTTATAAATGCTGTTTTTTACAGTAGTATACAATGGATAATTAACATTTTGGCTAGTACAGAGTAAAGTCGGTATCTTTTATAATTTTAAGCAATTTTTTACTGTTAGAGGGAACACTGCACAAATGACAATTTTTTGTAGCTGGTACTTTGTTCTTATACAGACATGTTCTGAGCCTTTACTAATAAGTTACATTCTTGATAACTCTCGTATTAACAATTATTGTTTATTATTAAGGAAACGCTTCTTGTATTTACTAAAATAAATAAAATAAGAATATCAAAGGTGATTTAAAAACCACTTGACGTATTACATTTTTCATAAGTTCTTAGCAAAAAAAACTTATTAAAAAATTATCTTCTAACATTATCTAACATTTCTTGGATTATTGCGGCACACGAGGATTATCAAGAATGTAATTTTTGTAAAAACAAAACAAAATAACAAAATTAAAACTGTCTGCTTGGAAGTAAATAGAATCAAAATATATTTCAAATGAGGTATTACATGATTTTACTTTCCATTAGAAAATTTAAATATAGTAACGCCCTCTATTTTACGTCTCAAGTAAAGTGCATTTCATTACAACAAAAATATGTTTCTCTAATTTCATACCTTTTTTGTTTTATGTCTCTACCTTCTTGCATTTTGAAAACATACTACAAAATGCTTTCTTTTGACATCGCAGGATTGCATTAGAAAAAATCTAACTTCCAATTTAACCTCTTCCCCCCTCCCCGACTGACTTACAAAACAAAGAATTTTCGTTTTTAGTTAACGCCTAATCTGGGCCACTTATTACTTCAAATTTCAATTGTAAAACGACTGTGACAGACGGACAGACAGAGAGACATAAGTATTTCCTATTGCCAAATTTGGGTACTAATTAAGGATGTATTGATGTTTAAAAAACATCGATTTTTAGGTTTCGACTATCGATGTTCAACATCGATGTTTTTTAATCCGATGTTATTTGCTAACATCGATTTTTACATTAATATCCATGATTTTCTTTTGAATGTTTCTTGGTTTTTTGTTAAGCGTCTCGTTTAATTTGATGGTTTAAATTTCTTTTTCCTGTTTTTTTGCTCTTCAATGAACGCTTTTGGAAAACATCGATGTTTACACATACATCGATGTTTGAAAAAATTTGCGCATCCCTAGTACTAATGCGCAAATTACTTGAAAAATTATTTGTTTTTGTCTTACAAATTTTACCGTTTTTTCATGTTTCGTCTTTTTCAAATTTTAATTTGATATTGTTTTATCACGAGAGAAACGAGACGAGACGAGACAAGACAAGAGGAAGGCTCTCTCGATCGAGAGAAGCGCCTTCTCGTCGAGACGAGAGAACAGTTTTCTCTCGCCCTACGAGACGAGACGAGAGAGGCCACTCTCTCGTCTCGTATTATCTCGCGGCATCACTAATAAATTTGTATATAAACGATTTACAGATTTCTTCGTACAAACCCTAAAAATTATAATATTTAACTATAGTGCATTAGATTACAATAAATTATTCATTATTTACAATTTCTTCCAATATTGTTAAATAATGTTCGAAATAAAAGTTCGTTAATTTTGACAACATTTCCCTCCAAAGGTTCTGGTTTATTTCAATTCTTTAATAAAGAATTCTTTTTGGTGTCCATATAGTAAAATAACAAAATTTTCTTTTACTCGCATGAAGTTGACCCTGCATTTGATAATAGTATAGATGTTTTTTTTTTAAAAAAAATGTTTAATAGCCTCTTCTGGTGTATAATTTTTCGCCGAAAGGTTTTTACTGATTAAGCCATCTGGAGTTGCAGCCAAAAATGAATGTTCGGAACCTATGAAGATTCCTGAGTTGGATATTTCACTATCTAAAGATTCACTCAACTCCCTTAAAGCTCTGTCTTCATTTTCTATACCATAATTAGTATTTTTATTGCCAGAAAATGTACCTCTTAATATGTCCATGGCAACTTTATTTTTATTAGTAGATTCCCGAAGTCTACAAATTCGTCCAAAATTTGAGGCAATTAAACGTTTTCGTCGTCGCTCCTCAAACCACTTAGCGGACTTTCTTTGGCTAAAGGTTTTCTCAAAAATATTTTGTGCTTCTGTGCTGGAAACTTTTAAATTTTCAAGAAATTGATGCTTAATTTTTTTAAATCCATCAGGGTCAATTTCCAAAATTTTCTTCGCATTTGGGCCATAATGCTCATCTGCTAGTTGTGATAGTATCTTCTCATGCTTTTTAAATTTTATTCTTTTTTTAAGTCTTTTTTTTACAAATTTTTTAGTGTATTGGCCAGGACTTTTCCCTGTAATGTTTTTATGGAATGAGGAATGGTATAGACCTTTAGTGTTATATGATAAATCTGCGGCATGATATCTTAGTTCATAATTACCTCTTGACGTGTAATTAATTCGTTTCCCGCCTAAAATGTTTGCGAAGATGTTGTTATATTGTTCTGCGTAATTGTTATTAAGGTTTTTAATTAAACTATCCACACGGAATTTTATTCTCGATATAGATGACAATATATCTTTCATCATTCCGCATTCGGTCAGGTCAACTATGTAGTCTGCATTCTCTTCATTTCCTAACTTTGTACAAAAGTATTTAGAACAGTTCTCGTGCTACCAAATCCATGATATGGGCTATTAGATATGTCATGCTTTAGATTAGCTATTCACTAAATTAAAATATAAAAATTTTATAAACACCCTCTAATAAGTCAAACTGCGTTATAACAAAATCTCACAATGCACCAAGAACAACTAAATGCGGTCCTGGTTTCCCTAATTCAGGTAACTCTGACTCACTTAAGACTTCTTGGATGTCGGCAACCGTGGTAGGGAAATAATATATGGAATAGAGTACACGATTTCGAGTTCGGACGTTAACATTTTGTAGGTACGCTCTTAAACATGAAAAATTTTATCATACTGGCGGTCGCTGGCTCTAAGTATGAAAAAAAAACTTAATTTTTCTAGTAACAAAATCGTCACTAAACTGCTTATAATACTTATTTTTCAGAAATTGATTAAACCTTCTTTGGAAGACTTGCATTAAGATCCGAAATATGTATTATGTAATTATGAACTTATTAATATATTTTTAACGTCACGGAATACTAAAACAGTTATATTAAGATTTTATCAGACAATACCTAATATGAAGCAATTTGCACGCTATTATTTGCTATGATTCAGCAAATGCAGTTTTAGTAAAAATCTTGACGCCATCTAAAACACTTCATTGTAAAACAGACAAGCAGACTAACCAACTAATACTTATATATCAAATAATTCAGGAAGTTATTCGTGTACGTATACTTGAGTATACTCAAGATTTTACATAAATTACTTCACTTTTCCATTATCATGATCTTTACAGTCTGTTTAAACTCAAAAATTCGGAGTCAAAGTCGCTTATTTCACGAGATAAACATTTGTGTAAAACCAGATCAGCGATCAGACCGTTTGGTTTTACGTATATATTTTGATGGAATAAATAAAACAAATCAAATAAAACTAAATAAAAATAACAAGTAAAGGGATTTTATTTTTAGTATATTGTTACGCTGGTTTTTGGTTACTCAGGTTATTTCAACTCAACTTTTACAATTTAAATATACAACCAATAACATGAACGTACAATGCAACGTCTATCATAAAACTCTGACGTCAGGATCAGTGACTTATAGAGCTCGCCAATGACATATATAGATTAATAGACTGCTCATCCATATCAAAGTATATTAACTATTGAGTAGCGACATAAAGCGTCGGTGCCTTTGATCTTGGGTGGTGCAAATTTTCTTTCTCTCTCTTTTGACGCTATTGACGGAACGACACACTAAAACACTGCTCGAATTATAAACTGGTCTTGAATGTGATGTTTACACTGCTCGGCGTAATTTGAAGTAAAACTCTTTTGTAGTTTACGTATTTATAATAAAGGTTTGGTCATTAGGCAGTTTTATATTTATGAGTATTTAACTTATGTAATAAATATAAAAATATATATCACTATTGATAAATTTCAATTTTTTTACCTACGTCCGGATGAGCTAGAGTCTTGAAAGTTGGTAGGTGCACAGGGTTTTGATTTTTGATAACAATAGAAATTATTACTTATGGACCTTCTTATTTATTAATCGAACTTTAAATTTCGCGTTGTTCAAACATGTCGCTGAATACAATTTTTGACTAATAAATCCACAACAACGAATTCCTATATCAGCTGCCGGACTAAAGTAAAAGGGGTTGTTTACATCTTTAGAAGACGTCTCGCCTCTCTATTTCGCGTCGGCGCACTAGAATTCGGTTCCCCAGCTGTTGCTACTCAACGGTTAATATACTTTGTCCATATATAAACAAGACGACGAAAAGCGGGTCAAATTGCTTGGCTTGCCGAGTGCTCACCAGGCAGAATCGGTCTGGCCCAAGTGAGTTTAAAACTCATATTTCATCAAAGAAGGAATTGAAATAAAAAAAATTATCTGTATGTTTATTTCAAGACATGAGCTTGCGGTAGGTATTTTTAAAAGGGATTTTGAGTCGTAACGTCTAGTTTCCCAATTTTCAAAACATTTTACTAGATCTAACCAATTTTGAACATAGATATAAACAATTTTACACTCTTCTGTATATAACTAACTTTAGACCACGACTACTGTATAGTGGCACTATTCGGACACTTGATTATTCTTTTAAAATTTATTTCGCATTATAAAAGCAGATATTATGCAAAAATTGAAGGAACTTTTTAAAGATTTTACTAAAAGTTAGTAGCTTTTTCACATTCTAAAGTGTGTTCCCTTTAGACCATTAAGGATAATTTTGTCGGTGAATGTGAATGATTTGATGAATAATAATAAAATTCAACCAGTGGAAATCTGATCAACATCATAGTAAAATGGGTATCCAGTCAATTCGTCGCGCGACAATTTATCGCGCGACAATTTATCGCGCGACCTTTCAGAGCCAACAATTCATCGCCACGACTTTTCATCGCTACGACAGTTTATCGCTACGACAATTCATCGCCACAAAAATATCGTATTGTATCTATGATTTATACAGTATGTCTGAAATGAAATGTTCTCTATATTATAAATGGAGATGTACCGGCCGCATTCATACCATAGGCGATGAAATTGTGAAGAGAACCGAACATAATCATGTGTCAGATAGTGCTGATGCCGAAGGAAGAAGAGCTGTTAAAAAAATTAAAGTTTTAGCTGAACAAAGTGGTTCCACTACTCAACAAATCATTGCAAAGGTTTCCGAGGGTTTATCATCATCGGCTGCAGCCAGATTACCACAAGTGAGTGCAATGAAAAGAACTATTCAACGAAAAAAGGAAAAGACAGAAGGAATTCCTGCGATTCCAAATTCTCTGCTTCAATTAGTTATTCCACAGGAATATACACTGACAAGCAGTGGTCAGTTATTTTTAATGTACGACAGCGGCCCATCAGAAGATCGAATATTAGTGTTTACAACAGCAAGAAATCTTGACTACATGTTGGAGTGTGAACACTGGTACGGAGATGGAACTTTTTCAACAGCCCCTAATATGTTTTCCCAAATATATACAATCCATGGCGTCAAATATTCAAATACCATTCCAACAGTATATGTAATTCTGCCGAATAAAAGAGAAGAAAGCTATAGACGTTTATATACAGCATTAAAAAATTTAAAACCTGAACTTTGCCATACATCTTTTTTAATGGATTTCGAAAAAGCAGCGATGAATGCGGTACGAAGTGAATTCCCTAATGCTCAATTTCTTGGATGCTTTTTTCATTTTTCTCAGTGTATATGGAGACAAATCCAGAATACCGGATTTCAGAGGCGATATGTGGATGAAGAAGTGATTTCATCAAATTTGCGACTTCTGGCTGCACTTGCTTATGTTCCTGAAGACGATGTAGAGAGTGCTTTTGATTTATTATTGGAAAGTGAATTCTATGCAGAAAACGAGGACTTAGCAGATTTAATAAACTATTTTGAAGACACGTGGATTGGTAGATTAGACAGAAGAGGAAGAAGACGGTTACCAAAATTTCCTATATCTTCTTGGAATTGTTACAATGCAGCCAGAGAGGGAATTGCTAGAACCAATAATGCAGTTGAAGGATGGCATAACAGTTTCAGTTCAATTGTTTCCATTGCACATCCCAACATTTGGAGGCTAATTAAGGCTTTACAAAAGGAGGCAAATTGTGGCAGGTAATGAAATTACTCAAAAAAAAATCTGATGTGTCCAACACATGACTTTCCTATCTAGTTATTACAGGCTTTTTCCGTTTATTGTGTACAACCTATTGCAGCATCTCTATAAATGTTTAGAGGATAAACTAAATATATATATATATACATTGTCCACATACATCTACCGCGAAACATTTTTCTATAGATATTCATTGAAAATGAAAATACTGAAAAATTTAAATTTAGCACTTTTCCTACAATTTTTCCATTACGGTCCATTTAAAAAAAATCATGTATGAACAAATATTATAGATCGAAATCGCAAACAACTTTTATTTCAACAATTTTCATAAAAATCAGAATTTTGCACATTTTGTCAAATTTCTCGAATACGGACCATTTCAGGAAATTTTTACATAAGGCAAAAATTATAGATAATAATATTAGAAGTAACTTTTATTTGAACAATTTTCTTCTCCAAACATAAATAACAGATATATTCCATAAAATATATAAACGGCCTCCCATAAAGTACCCCCCCAGATGTTCCGACTTTGTCCAAAATCTAATCATTTCACGTCAGGCCAAAATAAAACTTAAGTTTAAAATTTATTGATTTTTTCTTTATCCGTTTTTGAGTTTTCTTCAAATTTCGAAATTTACACATTTTCTCAAATATCTCGAATACGGTCCATTTAAGAGAAATTATCTATGGGACAAAAATTATAGAGAATTATATTACAAACAACTTTTGTTTGAACAATTTTTATAAAAAAAAATATTTTTTTACATTTTGCCAAATTTCTCGAATACGGACCATTTTAGGAAAATTTTGTAAATAACAAAAATTATAGATAATAAAATAAGAAGTAACTTTTATTTAAAAAATTTTCTTCCCCAAACGTAAATAACAGATATATTCCATAAAATATAAAAATGACCACCTATAAAGTACCCCCCCAGATGTTCCGACTCTGCCCAAAATCTAATCAGCTCATTAGACGCTGGAATAAAGCTTAAGTTTGAAATTTGGTGTTTTTCCGTGTATCGGTTCATGAGTTATGCGTTATACAGACACACACACACACACACACACACAGACACACACACACACAGACACACACACACACACACAGACATCATCGCGAAAATAGTCAAAAC